CCCAAAGCCCTGAGAGAGAGGGAGAGAGACGTGTGTATAGGTGTGGTTGCGTGTGTGTGTATATATATATATGCATGTCGGGTGAAGCTACGTCTTTACAGGAGTTAGGCCTGCGACTTCTAATTACATCGTGTTCTCAAAGCGACATGGGTTCCTAGCAACGGCTCCCACAAAAATACCTGCGCCATTTACCCGAAAAGCGTTCATGCCTAAACTGTCATGACTGCACACAGCTTACTGGTATTTACACTATGTCCGGCTCCTCGGCTCAATTACGAAGGCTTTCAACTACATCAAAACTACTTAGTTTGTCGCCCACGAGCTGCTCGCCGTACTACATACATGCTTCTTGAAAACTATAAAAGTATTGCAATTTACAGTGCATTGCACACTACCACGTCACAACGACTTTGCTCTGGGTAGCGGGCGCTCAGAGGGCCCGGTGCGTAGTAGTAGTGGTGGTAGTAGTAGTAGTAGTAGCAGTACTAGTAGTAATAATTATAGTAGTAGTGGTGGTAGTAGTAGTAGTAGTAGCAGTAGTAGTAGTAGTAGTAGTAGTCGTCGTCGTCGTCGTCGTCATCGTCGTAGTAGTAGTAGTAGTAGTAGTAGTAGTTGTAGTAGTAGTAGTAGTTGTAGTACCACTACTGAAATACTGCTACTACTGCTGTTGCTGCTGCTACTACTACTGCTGCTACTACTACTACTACCACTACTAGTACTAATACTAGTACTACTATCGTTTTTGCTGCTGCTGCGACTAGCAAAGATGATGCGGGTAGGAATGATCGCACCCCAATCACGAGATCTGAATCTGAGCCCTGAACCCTCAACCCCGAGCCCTAAATCTTAATCCTTGAGTCCCTAAACCCTAAACCCTAAGCCCTAAACCCTAAACCCCAAACCCCTAAACCCCGAAATCGCTAAGCTCCGAAAGCCGACTGCCGGACCCCCGAACCCTCACCGCAGGAAGGAGCCGACCTCCCGGCCACCACCATCACGGCCTTGCTCATTTGCACGGAGGGCTGCTTCAAGTGTCCGCAGGCGGAGGGCTAAGGGTTTAGGGTTCAGGGTTCCCTAAATCCTAAGCCTGTTCTGGGTTTTGGGGTCCGTGGAGGTTGGTTAAGTTCTGTAGCTCTGCGAATACCCCGTCGAGCTCCCTTATTTTCTGACACTCCCACATGGAGCTCTCGCCCTAAACCCTACACTTGCCCTGTACCTCTAAACCACAAAGGCCCTGAAGCTTAAGGCCTAGCCTAAACCCCTGAACACCAAGCCCCTAAACCCTAAACCTTGCCCTTCACCTCCAAACTCCAAACCTTAATCCCTAAGCTTTCGCAGGAGTTTGGCAGCTTGAAAGAGGCCTTAGAGAAGCTGAAGAAGCGGGCGTCGGAGCTGTCAATCCTCCCTGCGCAGTCTGTGCGGGCGCCACCTGTGCCTTTGCCATCGGCAGTGGCCACGACCAAGGCAGGTTTCGGCGCCACTGCCAAGGAGTCCAATCTCCCAAAGCCGACGGGTTGGTTTGCAACAATCGCTTGCCGTCGCTGGTCCTGGAGAAGGTTTTGCCGCCGTTCTGGTGGCTCGGTGAAGCAATCGACAATGAGCACCTCGAAGTGCCCGAGACCGAATCCAGTGCGGTGTACTTATTGCAATAGACGGAGGGATGTGTGAGCAAGAACTACTCAGCTACTCATATGTGCAGTTCGCCGTTCCGGAGGGGCCAAGCATTCAGGAAATGCGATCGTGCCTGCAGTGGGCTTAGCTTTGTTTTCATCAACCCCTGGGCCCTTGGACGGCTCTTCCTTTGGGTGTTTTCGCTAGGCAGGACCCCAGGGGCGGCACTAAGGGCCGTGGTACTCGGTTTTGGGTTCCGCTACCATGCCCGACGTGCACCTGTCCTAGTCATCCATTGGTTGGTCCAAGGGGCGATAGTGCCGGCATGTTCGATTTCTCCGGTCTGTCTTCTTCTGCTCTTTCCCTCTCTCTCTGCTCTCCGTCTTTTGGTCCTTCTGCGCCCTCTCCTCTGGTTCTGTCTCTCCTCCGTGCCTTCTCTTTCTCTGTTTTCTGTCTCCCTTGTCTCCTCTCGGGTCTCCTTTTCCCTTTTCTGCTCGGTCGGCTTGTGTGTGTGTGTGTGTGATTGTGTGTGTGTTTTTGATTTTCTTTTCTTCTTCGACTTCTGTCGGCTTTGAACTCGAACTTGGCTCTGCAGTTAGTGTTCCTACGGGCGCATCACATCAGTGCCGATGCTGGCCAGCGTGGTGCACAGATTTTGGTGGCAACCAGGAGGGCTTTCAGTTTCACCCACCGCCATACAATCCCTGAGATGTATCAGCCCGCACCCGCAGCGACTCTGGACCTACGACATGGACTCAGTAGCCTCGCTTGCAGCAGACATACCTGGCCTATCAGTCTGCCACGCCAGCCTTCTTTTGGACTCTGACCTAGCGTCGGTACTAGTCTCCGCGGGGTTGCATCTTTGTCTTTTAAAAGACTGGATTGCGGCCCTGGCCATCTATCAAGGAGGCGGCTTGTTCCTGGACCTCGATTACATCTGGCTAGGGAATCATTTGCCGCTAGTTGACGGAGTGGCCTTTGGCACTGAGCCCATTAAGCCCTTGCCACCACAGAGATTACCCAAACGGAGATTCATCGTCTCAGGGCGCATGGTGCGCCTTAATCTGGGCCTACTGGCGGGGCCAACAACCTCAACATGTTTTGCCAACTGGGCTTTGGCACTTCACCGCTATTGGTATGGAAGATTACGGCATTGGGTTGCCGGCCATAACTGTGTAGCTAGGGACAGGAATCACACTTTATGGTTGAGTAACACGGATTGTCTGCACGGTTACATTGTGCAGCATGCTCTCCAGCCCTGTCTCCTGCCAGTACACAAAGTGTCACCATGGCCCCTGTGGATGACGGACTTCCTTGCGCCAGAAGACACATCTTTTGGATACAAATTGCCAGATCTCGAGCTCATTCAACAAGAGGGCGTTTTCGTCAACTTGTGGGAATCTCAGTGGCTCGCCTCTACTGGTGGCGAGAGGGTTCGGGAGCTCTTGGCTCAAGTACGCGAGCAACGTAATGCACCGGGTGTTGGATTATCGCTTCGCACTATTGACACATTGACAGGTTCACCACCAATTCACAGTCAGGGCCCACGGAAGCTACACCCTCCCTATCTACGATGGGCCCAGATTGACGGCAAGGTAATGCATGACCTTTACCTGGCATCCACTGGCGCGGACAGAGTCCTTGGCTGGACTGCTCGAGGCTTTCACCTCCGAAACCAGGACGCAGCAATTTTTGCGACCCTATCAAGAGTATATATCAAAGACTTCGCTGCCCACCTTTACAAAGCAGCTAGGGGCAAGGTCAATTCGGCATTACATCTTTGGGGACCCCTTACCACGCTGATTCTAGTGGGCGATCATTGGACACGCCACTGCCAGCTGGCCCGCAACACCGCAGCTTTCTCGGTGTGGATCATTCTTAGCGGGGCTTTGGAGTTTCAAGTGCCCGGCCGTGCTCCCAAAGCTTTTGGAGCAGGAAGCATTATTGTGTCAGAGTTTTTGATCAGAGGAGTGTCTCCAAGCTCACAGGCAATATTCGGGTCCTGTGGGGCACCATTCCACGGTACGCGCTGGAGCGGGTACGTACCCGAGAGCAAATCCTCAGAGCACGCGGCTTGAAGCAGGAGATCCTGCGTGTTAGAAAAGCTGGTCGCCGGACGCGTGGGCAGCAAGCGGATGTCAGAGCGCGAGCCCTGCCCGGCTGTGATAACTGCGCTATGGCTGAGCTGTTAGATCCTGCCTAGCTCCTTCATGTTCTTGTGTTGTTAGTTTCACCCCGGTTTGCGCAGCCTTGCGCAGTGGCCGCTTCAGCCTGCTTATAATGAATAGTGGCTCCGTCTGTGCACTTTCCAGGCTTTTGGTCTTTGGTTCTTGCCTTGTTGGGTGGGTTCGTTTTGGTTTCTGGGTTGGGATTTGGCGCCTCGTGCATTCCTCTCCAGGCAGTTCTGTCGCACCTTTGCTGCGGTACGGAGAGTTTAGGCAGACTCCCCCAGGCCCAGAGGCCGACTCTTCTAGCATTCGGAGAAGCCTATAAACACCAACAGCCTAAACCGGTGCTGGAGTCGTTATGGCATTATCGTTGCGGCCAGTATTCGTAATGTCTGTTCCTGTGTCACTATCGTTGTGAGAAGTGCTTTAGCGCCACTCGTGGTTCTACTATGTTGCTATCTTTAATTCGTGTTCGCACTTGCATCTCGGATCTGTGTGCAGATGTATAAATATATGTACACACACATATATATATATATATGGATGTATATTTGAAATATTCAGTCAGTATATGTGCATATGGATATATTTGTATGTATGTGTGTATGTATGTATGTATGTATGTATGTATGTATGAATGTATGAATGTATGAATGTATGCATGTATTAATGTAATGTA